CTTCCCCAAACTGTTCCCACAATGTTAAAAGTGTACAATTGTCCAAAATGTCTTGGTGCTGAAGCATTAAGATTTCCCTTCACTGGATCTAAGGGTTCTAGACCAACCCCTGAAAACAGTCCTACAGCATTATCCCTCCTCCACCAAACTTTATGCTTGACACAGTGCACTCAAAATTATTAAACCCCTATTTAATATCGTTAGATTTTAAATCACTGCTGTAAGGCTACAAAATTGTTCTATAACACAATTAAGCCTTTAGGAATTCTATAATGACAATCAATTTGTTTCAGCTCTGATACATATATAAATCCTGCCCATTTATGTGTTCAGGCTCGTAATCAGCAAACATGGCAAAGAAACTGGCCCAGACACTTAATGTTTCAAGAGACCCAGCTGAAAGTATTACATGTACATTTAAAACTCAGGGTTCAGCAGAAACCCACCTGGGCATGGAATAAAGAACAGCTGAGAAAAACCCTTGCATTACTGCAAAAGATTTGCAGTACAATATGATGAAGGCAGGAAGTATCAGTGAACACGATAATAAGAACATTACATAAGCAACAACCCCATGCCTGAACATCTTGTGGCACTCCACCAAAAAGCACATAAAAAGTCAACTTTAATATGCAAGAAGGAATTCTGACAGGTCTGTGGAGCACTGGGAGATAAGAAAAGCAAGGCTTATGAAAAAAAAACACCACCCCCATGGAAGAGGGTCCTGTTGTGGGAGTGTTTTGCTGCAGGTGCAATAGGCAATCCCAACTGTGAGTCTGGCATCATGGATTCTTTGCAAAACGAAGCCATTTTGGAGAAGAATGTGTTCTTCAGTCCATAAATTACAACATAGTGATCATTGGGCAGTCCAGCAAGACAGTGACCGCAAACATACATTCAAGTCAACAAAAGCTTGATTCAGGGATTGGTCCTGGAATGTCCTTGAGTGGCCTTCTCAGTCCCTGGATTTAAATGCCATTGAAAATCTTTGGTGGGATTTCAAGTAAGCTGTGCCAACACAGAAACCAATGAACATTAATGAGCTGGAAGCTCTTGCATATGAGGAATGGGCAAATATTCCGGTAGAGAGATATCAGAAGGCTGTTATAAAGTGTAAAGGATGTGCCACAAAATACTGACTTGGAGAGTTGAAGAATTTTGCACATGGATATTTGTGGAGAGAATGATTTTTCTTTTGAACTGTTAGCAGTAAACTCGACTTTATTTTCTCAAAATTGCTTGAATCTGTAATAATAGTCCTTCTTCCACTGTTTACTAAAGCTTTGGTCCAGTGATATTCAGGAGAAGAATGTTCACAGAACTAAACATATCGGGTTCTGAACATCTTTATTTAACACAGGGGGCGATAGAGGTGATTTTCAGAAAACCCTATTCATTCTGGCCATAGAGAAATAGGGCTTCTTCCCTTTTTTAGACTATACCTGCCTTCCTACTGGACAACCACTGGATAACATTCTGACTCTTGATCCTTCTCAGAAACCTCTTATATCTAGGGTTTATTCACAACTAATGGGTACGGATGTTTTCTCTCTTAATAGGAGCAGAAGTGCTTGGGAACATGAGCTGGGCTCTATTTTCACGGAGCAAAGGTGGGACAAAGCCATATATAAAGTACGGTCAGGTGTTCCTTGTGCAAGAATTCAGCTGATACAGTTTAAGGTATTACACAGGGTTCATAGATCAAAGTCCCACTTATCAAAGTTTTATCCAGATGTCAGCGATCAGTGTGATTAATGTGATGCTGCCTCATGTAATCTGAGTCATATGTATAAGTCTGTGTGTCTCAGTGAGACTGTAGGTCAAATGACATGCAGAGTGTTTTCTTCCTCACAGCATCACTGAGATTTAGACTGAACCTGTTTTAGTGACGCTGTTCAGTGAACTTCACCCACTGTGACTTCATCATCTCTCTGAACAGAACAGACAACATTACATTCACTCCAGAGGAGAAACGGCCTGTTTAACATCACACAGTGTCCAGAAATATAAAGGTAGGAAATGAACGCCTGTTTATAACTGTATGAGTGTAATGTTCACTGTATGGACTCAGTTCTTCATTATGGAGTTTGATTGAAGTGTGTTTAGGTTTTGATGAATGAAACTAAGGCTGCATTCACACAGCAGGTAAAAGTAGCCCAAATCTGATTTTCTCACCAAATCCGATTTGTTTGTTTGTCTGTTCAGATTATCCTTTAAATCTGCGACATCAGTCTGAACAGATCAGCTCCTAAACACAGCTTCACGCGGCTCGTCCAGAGGTAAACAGTCATGACGGCCAGTGAACGCCAGTCGCTCCCGGAGCTTTAGTCTCGTCTTCGCCAGCATCACAGGAGCGATTATGAGGTTCCAGTGGTTGACAGCTGGACTCATCACCCTCAGTGTGTCCGAGTTCGCCGTAAAAAGGGCTCGTTATTCAGCCTCGGTCGCTTCTTTGGTTCGGGTCCTCTTTAAACTGGTGTCTGACACTGCAGCCTCGGGCTCCTCCGGCCGCGCTCGGCCGATTCGTCCAAAACCTCTTCAGACTCGGAGCGGCTTGATGAGTCTCTTCTAATGTTTTGGTACAGAAACATCAGACTAAATGTTTATCAGCCTCAGCAGCGCCAAATTATGACGAATGTCGAGTTGGACTGACGTAGAAGTCGCATGAATTCCGATCTGGCTGTTCAGACTGAGTCGCATTGCCGCAGATCGGATACAGATCGGATTTCGGCACCAAATATGAAAGCATATATGAAATCTGAAAATGTCTGATTCAGTGTGTTTATCGGATTTGGGCCTCTTTTACCTGCTGAGTGAACGCAGCCTAAGTCGAGCTCCATCAGCTGATCAGGAAACCCTGCAGTGTGAAAGGAAAATCTCTGATTAATGTTCTTCACCTAAAGTTCTTTACAATCAATGTGTCCTACAGGTTTTATAAAGCATTGATTTCTCACAAAAGCTGTGGAAAAAAGAGGAAGCTGACTGTCTCAGTTACAAATAATAATAAATTATACATCATAACATTCCTGCACCCATCCTTCAAAAACTATTGGAGCAGGAATCATAAAGTGAAAATAAAACCAGCTTTACTGGTCAGAAGATTCAGATTCCTTTCTGTGATTCAGCCGACTGTTAGCTAATGTTACTGTTAACTCTCTACAGCAATAATATTCAGCTAATATTTACAAAAGCTAGATTACTATTACTTATTGTGCTTCCGTGGCTCATGTTTCTTCTCTTCTGGTTCTTTTTCTCCTTCTATTGTTTAGTGGCTGATAATAGCCTGTCTCACCTTCCTGTAATTGGTCTGAAAGTCCGAACCTCCAAAAAGAGAGCATCAGATTCTTATTCAGTTCTTTTTCAGAGAAATGACACCAAGCTGGTGCTCGTGTGTTTCTCTCAACATGCGTTCAGTCCTTAAGATCTACTTTCAGTTCTGATTTCTAGTATTTATAATACTAGAGCTGAAGAATTTGTCCTTAAAAGACACGTAGATTATACATACAAGGTTTTATTACATTTAAATGTAAAAGGGGGTTTTGATCCACAGTCTTCTGATCAACATGATAAGCCAAGACTTTGGTTCTCTCAGACGCTGTAAATGTGTCGGTGCTGCTGTGTTTTGGGTTCAGGAAAATCTTGTCATGCTATCTAGTGTCAGCGTTTCTTTACCATTCTTTACTGTTTCTCTCACAGCACTGCTGATCAAACTACTGACCACACAGCACTGCAGAACAATCTATGAATCTATCTGTTGTAGACATGTGTGAGAGTTCATGCACACAGAGCAGTGCGATGTAATGTTAGTACAACCTGTGTTCGGTAAATATTAAAAGCTAAAAGAACGTTGTGTGGATTTACAGATGAGTTGTGCACAGACAGATTCAGACACACAGATGTTCAGATTTACAATCTGATCTTCAGTAAAGGACTGGATAAACGTGTGCTACTGGGTTGGTGTGTAAAGCTGTGTGTGTTAGTGTTGGATTGATACCGGATAACTTCAGTACTGAATCTACACAGGTCCTGTTTCTGTTTCTCCAACAACACTGTAGGATCGGGGGGGCTGGATTGAAGATCAAAGTGGGATCAGGCCATTAACAAACAGCTCTGCTTCACAAAGCAAAACATGTACTGAGAGGATTAGTCAGTCAGATTATTAAAGGCCATCATATTCAGCAAAACCTTAAATTCTAAAGAAAAAAAACTGGGTCTGCATTACTTCTCTGGTAATGGAGAGACTGTTAATTAAAGTTTTACAGTAATGAGCTCTTTTTGAGTGAGACTTGATTGAAGGCTGTAGAAATTGAATGAGAATTGAATATTCAACCCATTAGTTAATCTACAGAATACGTTAAGTTAATGACTGTGGTTTCCAGTTCAAATGTTTTTAGTCCTCCTTAAAGAATGCTTATGTTGTGCTTATATTTTTTTAGAAATAAAACAATGACTGGACATTGCATGCCACGTCAGTCTTAGCTGGTCTACACTGGTTTATGCTGGTCTGTTACTGTTTGAGCTGTTCAACCACCATAACAGCATCTACAACATAACATATGCTGGTTTGCTGGTGGCCAGCTAAGCTGGTCTATGCTATTTTCTCTTGCAGGGTTTCTGGGGACAAAGATGGGCCTAAAATGTACAAGGGGCTCCTATAGGCCCTCTCCAGACTTCTTGTTCTTTCTGATGTTCAGGGAATATCCAAGGAAAATATAAAACTCTTGATTAGATCATAAGAGTGTGAGTTTAATAGCGTTATGATAAAAGGCTGCTTAAAAACTCCATAATAACGCAGCACTGAAATGGTTAACAGTGCATGTGTATAATTCTCACTCATACTGCAATTCAGCATTTTTAACATGTTAAGTGTAAATAATGTCTCCTCAATCTTACTGCAATCCAGCAGTGTTCATTGAACGCAAGCTGTGTTTGTTAGCATAGTTTCCATACATGTGGAAACCCATTCCACAGAACTCTGTTGAAGCCAGGATTTAAAGATAATGGCAGATTCTCCAACTGTGGAGAAGATCAATGTTTACAACACTGTAACAGGCTTCAACAACATCAGCCAGGCTTCAGTGTCCTTCTCTGAGGCTGCTGTGAGTGAGTTAACATATGACAATACTCTGAATATTTGATTTGGACACTACAAGTGTAACCTTTGTCTCTCCAGAAAGCTCAGCTTCTGTATGTGCCGACAGGTGGATCTCTCAAAAGTGCTGGATCTGAAATAAATTACCTGTAACAACAATGTAATGTGAATGATTTGTCAGATTAATGTTCTAAGTAGACTAATTTACACTAAATTGTTTATCATTTTATGATTTCTTATTCTTCCCCAAAATAATTTAAATTGCAACAAAACATTTGAAATCACCATTTGTTGTTTAGAATATTCAAATCAACAATTTAATAAATTATTATTCAATATAAAAACATTTTCATTTTAGATGTTAAGTTAATCAATCTTGTGAATATTAATGTTAAGTGTTCTATTCATTACTTTGACAGCAGTTCTTAATTACAATTTTCAGTAAAGCTATATGAAAAGAATTGAGAGAGAGAAATAAAAAGAGAGAGAAATAGAGAGAGAGAGAGAGACAGAGAAAGAAATAGAGAGAGAGGGAGAGAGAGAGAGAAATAGAGAGAGAGGGAGAGAAACAGAGAGAGGGAGAGAGACAGAGAGAGTGAGGGAGAGTGAGGGAGAGAGAAATAGAGAGTGAGAGAGAGAGAGAAAGTGAGAGAGAGAGAGAGAGAAATAGAGAGAGAGGGAGAGAGACAAAGAGAGAGTGATGGAGAGAGAAGGAAAGAGAGAGAGTGAGGGAGAGAGAGAGAGAGAGAGACGACACAGGTAATGAAGACACACTGACAGATACGCTGTTAATGAAATGTGTAAAACACACAAAATTTCAATGTAAATAACTGAAGAAAAAAATACAGAACAGCACTTTTAATGATTTCATAGTTCCCTGATTTTCTCATTTCGTAATACAGAGAAGCACGTCGGTTCAGACAGAACAGCGTCATTTCACAGTCCTGTTTGGACCATTCAGGCTTTCCTCTCTGTTAGGTTTGAAAAGCAGAAACCAAAACCGGCAAAAAACATTTCAAATCAAATTCTATTCTGTTCCACTTTTTACAGTGTAAGAATGAATGAAGTCTATTAAAACAGTAAAGAAAGATCCAGAATGCATCACTGCCTAAAATATATACCGTCCCCCTCCCCGCCAAGCCCCCCCACCCCACCTCAGGGCTCAATTTGTAAACAATACTACGCCAAGGGGTAACACAGTTTCCGCCACTTGTTGTAAGACTCTACAATAATGTAGAAATATTAAAATAAAACCTCTCATTGGGGATTATTTACTGGTAACACATCAGTGATCATCATGCCAAAGTAAGAGCAGTCAGAGTTCATGGCTAGGTAGCCTAGAGATCTAACTGACACCATTTAATAAATAATGTAATATCTAAATTTAATATTTTAGTTTCCACAGTTTCACTGTAGTATTTAAAACATAGACATAAGCTGTTTCATTCTTTTCCACAGTGTGTTTGATTGAAGAGCAGTATATTGAGTAAAATTGGACTAAAGGATTAAAGACTTAATAATTTACTGTACTTCACAAAATAGTGGGGGTCTCAGGACAAACGCTGCCTCTAAATGTGAGTCGTGACATGAAAATAATTTGAAACCCCTTTTGAGTGCAGTAACGAGGGTCTTAAGCACGGAATGTTCTCTCATGCACAGATTTTCACAAAACTGAACAAATATACGACCATACTTTCATGACTGAGCCCCAGTGCACAAAGCAGCTCCATAAAGACATGGTCTGACGAGTTTAGTGTGGAAGAACTCCAGTGGCCTCACAGAGCCCTGACCTCAACCCTGCTGAACAACTTTGGGATGAACTGGAACATTTGTGAGCCAGACCTTCTTATCCAACACCAGCGTCTGACCTGACAGATGCTCTTTTGACTGAATGGACACAAAACACAGACATAGTCCAAAATCTTATGGAAAGCCTTTCCAGAAGAGTGGAGGGAGTTAGGCCCAATGCCACCGTCAGAACAAACACCGTCAGAAAACACTGGAAATGTTATATTGGTGTTTATATCGAGATACACAATAGTTTTCTAAGTTATATGAACCAGTCTATGATCGACCAAGCTTGCGTTTGGTCTGATTCCTTTTCTCTGAAGCTGTTTGGTCTGACGTTCAGTTTCACCAGATCTGAGTCATGACGGTGGTTTTTCTCGAGACTCAAAGTTGTTTAGCTTGAGGAATGATGCCGTCTGACTCGGAGGCCTAAGGATGTCCTAAAATGTACCCCGTAGCCCCGCCCAGTGCTAATTAACATATATTTGCATGTTGGTCAGTTTGAAAATGAAAACGAAAACGAAAAGTCGGAAATGTAACGTAATTCTCCAGCAGGTGGCGCTGATGTTTGTTTGCATTTGCCTTTTCATTCTGACACTTAAAGCGCGTCCCGCCGAAAACTGAATCACAAACTGTCACTTTGCTGTTAATTTATCAGTTTTGCATTTTCATTATCATTTTGTCAGATGTGCAGCTGATCGCTGTGAAAGAGAAATAAGAACGTAAACACGGCATTTTGGTTTTAGTTTTGACTCGTATTCTGCATTTCAGAATAACGACTAAAATGACATGACAAATAGTTGTTTTAAATTTATTTTTATTTTTGCCACAAATCACTCGTGCTCATGTGAATAATGAAATTGCAAATGTAGGTATTTCATTTCATTTTCAATCTTGGCAGGATATTTGCGCAGATGTTTGGAAAAAGAAATGGCAAAAAGAGGTTTGCATTTACATTTTATTGTTTTAATTATAATTTCTTTTTTGGCCGGATTTGCCTCCCATATTTCACATCTTTGACTCTGTAATTCCTCTTAAACTAGCTGGCAGCATAAATCAGATATGAGTCAACTGCTGTCTCCTGGTGAACTACCAAGGACCCGTGGAACTGGAACCACACTGACTGAGTCACCTGGCAGCACTGCTCCTTGTTGTCAGCTTGTAAGTACTTCAAATTAAAACACACTGGAGGACTGTGTGACGATGCAAGTGAGACCTGGAACATCACCAAGACTGTTTTAGAGCGTTACACCTGAATAACAGAGAGACAGTTAAAAGGACTAAAATGTTGATACTCTAGTTCTGTAGCAGTCTGCAGCAGTCTGTGTCTTCTTCTCGGGGCCGGTTGGTGCCGTTGTAATCCTGGGAGAGGAGTAACAGTAGCTAAAAACCTGTAAGAAGAGATGAACAAGTTAAGCAAAGCTGTAGCTCAATGTATACTTACCTGTACAGATGAGGAAATGGTCATGTAAATACTGACTACACTGTTCTTGTAATGGATGTCTGTGCGGCCTTTGCGGCTTCCGGGTGAGTAAATGTGACAGACTGAGTGTTGGTCAGTTGGCAAGAGGGACTGCAGAAGAGCCAATACAGTCACTGTAGCAGAAACTATTTTAAATACTATCAGGATTGTAAATACTTTACAAGTTGAATGTTTGAACTTAATAAAGAAAGAGGACTTAAACTTGTCTGGATATGGATGTGCAGTCTGTCCAAGGCAAACCCAGTTCTCACAGTAACGTTTTATGGCTGAAATAGAAAGAAACTGTGAGAGACACTAAATAGTTATCCTTTCCATCTCAGGCTAGCATCTCTGTGTGTTAGCAGTAAACAACAAGCAGCAGTCAACAAAGTAAGTGTGGTATATTTTTATTTATATTTTTAATTAAACATTAACATTAGTGCGATAGAATTATTAATTTGGCTTTCAATGCAATATTTTAAATCCTTCATTTCCTTATTGTTTTCTTTCTTTATAGGCAGATATAAGAAGTAATGGATTAACTCATAACAGGTAACACATAACAGACTGTATGAATGTTCAGAGAAAAAATATTATTTTTTTAATTTTCTTTAAAAAAAGTCTTATGAATGAACTTTGATGCAGAGAACATAAACCAGTGTTTGGACAGGTAGGAGTCGATGTAGACATTGAAGTAGAACAGATCAAGTTTTCTTTCAGCATGACTATAAATGTCTCATTCCTCCAGATTCTCTCCACAGTGGAATCACTCTTGGTGTCACCTTGAATCTGTGTGTAGTATTTGTGTGACCTTTTCAGGTGTGCTCTTCCACTGGCAAGTTGGACATGAGGAACATGGGCGATGGATTCAACATTGGGACACTTCACTTCCACTGTTTCAAATGGTGGATCTTCTGTGACTGCAGTGACTGTAATCATGTTAATGCATGGATAACTGCCAGTAATAGGCTATTATTTACCGAGGTCTGTGCCATGTTTGAGGCTTGCTTGTGCCGGCAGCAGGGATGGGAATGACCTTGATTCCCTTTGTACTATAGTGGGCAGTCTGGTACAGCAGTGCCACTGTGTGGTCACACTGGTCTTTACCAGCTGCACATGTGCACGTGTAACATTTGAGGTGTGTCCTGTTTTCAGTATCCAGGGAAATCTGTAACAGTGCTGCAAAGACTGTGGGGTAAAGGTCCTAAAAGGGTAAATACTGTGGGGCCCTGACTGCCTTTTAGAGCTGTGGTTCTCAACCCTGGTCCTCGAGGCCCACTGCCCTGCACTTTAGTGTCCCCCCAGGACTGGAGCTGGAAACTACTGCTCTAGAACTCTAACAAACAGTGGGACTCTACAGAGAAGGGGTGCCCAGTCTTAGTCCAGCAGGGTTTAGCTTCAACTCTAACATACCTGATCCAGGTAATGAAGGTCTTCAGGAGCTTCTGAATATTAGTTAGGTATGTGAGATCTGAACTTACCAAAACTGTATATCTCCTGGACTGGGATTGGGCCCCTTGCTGTAGAGATGTATGATCTGCTAGCACAGGTATTCTGTTATTTGAAGAAAATGGAGTGAGTTAAATGGTAAGTGGTGAAAGACCAAGAGGAGCTTTATCTAAGAGAAGTACCTGAGCGTTTGGAGTTTGAATATCATAAACTCAAGAAACCTCATCCTTCACCTGACATAACCTTACCTTTTCATTAGAGTAAAAGAAGGTGAAGAATAATATGTTTACGTATAAACTGAACAAAAA